ATCTTATTCAAAATTTTGTTATATAAGCGCCAATCAAATTTAACTTTATTTTTGATAATTTGGGCCTAATGCAATAATATCCATTCCTTTTAGTTCAATTGTCAAAATTATAATGCAACTTGTACATAGATAGTATGCTATATTAGACCAAATTTAGATTGGACAATAGACAAAATTTCAACGTATTTTTCATTTCAATTTTCTTGTCCATTATTTAGTTTAAACTGTGAACTAATAAACAATTGACTTCTTTCTTCCAAATGTTCTGTTGGAAGACCAATTTCTATGAATGAGAAATTTGGTCCAATGTTTGAAGGAAATCGAAATTCAGCGGGTAAGATCGTCGCTCAAATGATAGGTCAGCGAACAACTAGCGACAATTGGGTTGCAACTTTTCATGAAAAAATGCTGAATTTGGGGTGTGTTCTTTCACCAACAATCCTTTATCTTCTATATATATGACCCATTGGACGTGTATTTGTAATTCTAATTCATTCCATGATTCCATATTATTCATTTCATATCAAGTTACATAAAATACTTTGTAGAAGTGATTATATCTTGCATCAAAGTCATGTTTATGGGAGAGAGGGAATTTCGTTCGAGCTCGCTGATTGAAATTATTTGGAGTACTCCTATGGCTCGACGTGGTCGTTGTATCTTAGGAGATGATTGTCGAAAAATCGCTAGCACCGATGCGGGGCAAATTCATCTTACAGAAGAGTGTCAAATACTTGCCTCGGCCAATCCATCACTTGCATTTTCATTCTTCGTTTTCTAATTTCTGTTAATTATGGTTTGATTTCAGAAACTGGTTAATATTATTTACATGTTTGTTCTGCGAGATTTGATTCAAAGAATAACTTGATTTCGTTGAAGAATCAAAAGGAATGAATCCATATCCATGTATTCAGATTGGGTAACTATTATTGTTTATCTTCTCAAATCCATATTCGATAAGTCGAAACTTTGATTCGAATTCGTGAATGTATAAGGTACGTTTTGTGAATATAATATGCACAATATCGAGGTAATATTCCCAACAATCTTAAGATGAACTTTTTAGTTGCATCTTATATTTCACAGATCTAATCTAATGCTATTGCTTGCATGAAAATTTGAATTATCAAATTAAATTATCACATTTCTAAAATATATAATATTTTTGAATTTTGATGTCATATTCGATGGTGCATGACATCAAAATTCGTGTAGATATTTGCTAAATAGCACATGAAACTGTTGTTTGCTTTTTGCTTTTCTACTCATATTCTTATGAAGTTGGGCTTTCCTGTTTGTGCTTTAGGAATGCATATTGCTATTACGAGCATTATAAACCAGTAATCAATTACTATAATCAAGTGCATGAAACGTATATTTATACATTTTAAATGCAATATGAAGAATGACATATGAAATATGACTTCCTGTAAAGCCGTGTCTTTTCACTTTTGTTTCATTTTTTTTAATTGGCATCAGTTTAAAGATATATGTCAGATCTATATCTGTAAAACTCGTTAATTAATATTGATCCTTAACAGTTGATGAGGCAATGACCTTGTTATTATGTTGTTTTATATGAATGGGTATGGATTTGTTTTAAGAGACATTTTAGGATTTCTCTCTTCACATATCTTTGAAATATATATAGCAGCGCATGGCAATTATGTTCTGTTTAGAATTGGAAATTAAAATCTGATTGTGTTTCATTTAATTGGTAATTTCCTTTATGTCCAAGTAAGCTTTGAATTATGGAATCTCGTCTGATGTGATTTGGTCATTCCATGGATCATTATATATTTTGTAATAGTCATAGGAGGAAATATGTCGAAGGATGATCTTTTCATGGTACAATTTCGTTTTGAAATTGATTTTGGATGAATTCACTTGCTGAAATTTTGACAAGTGAAAACGTGCATGTTCAATAATTAAATTAGTGATTTTATTTTGAACAAGTGCATTCGCATGGGAGGAAAATGTGTGAATATAATATGCACAAACAAAATGTGATTTGTCCTAATTTGATTACTTGGAATTGTTGGAAAATTATGTAAAATATTATGAAATATTCTAGGATCAATTGAAATGAAAATGTATCTTTTCATACGAATAATCATGACTTTTGGTATGATTATTTTTCCAACAGGCATGTCTCTTCATATAAATCAATTCAAAATGTGTTCATTTTGTAGGGTTGTGCTTCTTGAGAACACAACTTTTCAACCTATAGTTGATTCGTTTGTTCAAATTTGAATATAGTGAATAAGGTGAATATGTACCTTATCATTTGAAAATAAAACTATCATGTGAAATGTCACAAATGTGATAATACCATCTTCACTGTTGAAAATTGACTTCAATCGTGAGACCAATTAAATTGTTTTATGCTTGGAAAGCATTGCTAGTCTATATGATGACCTTGATTTAATTTGAATGATCATATTAAAATAATTGGATTGAAATGCGCTATATGCAACTTTAATTGAAATAAATTGTGAGTTGACGACCACTATTTTGAAAGTACTTAGACTTTCACGAAACACTTGGTACGGATATTATCTAAGAGATAAATGAATTGAACTATGAAAGAGTTGTTGAATCCTAAGTTCAATTGTAACTCATATATGTGGGGGCTATCATAAATGCTCGTGAATTTGAATAAAAAGTTCAAAACTCGTGGATGCAACATTACTAGATTGCATATGTATTCCTAATTGAGAAATTGTAGGGAAACTTAGTTTAACAATTAAATTTGCTTCTATCTTATAATCATGGAAAGATATTTATGAAGGTGGAAAGATACAAAACTCTTATACTAATTATAATGATGATATACACTAAGTCTAAAGTGGATTAAATGGGTAGAAGCCAATTGTGGCGGTTATTTGGACATGCAAGAACAATTGAAATATTTGAAAAATATTCATAAAGTTCGAATGCATTGTAATATTTCAATGATGATATTGAATACCCGTGATTCTGAAATTCACTAGTAAACATGGTTGACTAGTGTAATAATTAGATAAAAATCCTCTAACAGTGTTGTTTGGATTTATTTAAGTTTTAGAAAAAGCTAATAAAAAGCATGTAGCTTCATGAGAAGATTTCTTGGTGATGACAATTTGTATCTATTAAATGAAATCAATCGTTGGCTGACAATATTTGATAAGATACTAAGTCTCATATAATGGTAGGTCTAGACTTATTAGTCATAGACATAATACCATTAAGCAGTTGATCTCAATGGTGTAAACTTGTGGTACCTTTAAAAGATTCACTAAGAGATTAAGTATACTGCATATCAAAAGGAATGTGATTGGAGCCTACTACATTAGAGTCCTTACAATGGTAACCCTACCTTATTGACTGGAGATTCCAAGATCTTGGTTTAAAGGAACAACTAAGTTATGAGGATACTGCATATCGATAGGAATGTGATTGAAGCCTACTACATTAGAGTCCTTGTAATGGTAACCCTACTTTGTTGACTGGAGATCTCAAGATCTTAGTTTAAATTGACAACTAAGTTATGAGGATTTCATGAAGCACTAAGGAAAATAATTTCCTAACTCATTCCTATGGTATTAAAGTACTTTCTGCGGAGTTGTAAAGGGTTAAAATAACTTTTAATGATTCATATATCATGATTAAGTTAAGTAGAGTAGGGCAAAATACTCTTAATAAGAAGTCACCTATGTGAGTGTGAAGTGGGTCGCTTCAATGAGAATTATTCAAGGCTTGAATTCTCTAAAAATTCGCAGAACCAAGAAGTGTTCATGGCCAAAATGAACTAAGTCATGAGAACCATGAGCAATTTAGGGAAGACATCATGTGAATAATGTTGTTTTGGCTTACACTAAAGGCTGAATGGTTCAAGACATCACATTTACCAATTAGTCGAGTAAGTTTGATGATATTTCACTAAGGGAGGTTCAAGGCCAGAAGCTACCATCGTTGATGTAGTGTTTTTCCGCTCTCTCTATTAGTATCTGCATTATCATTTGTATATATGAAATTTCTATTCATGTGGGGGATTGTTGGAAATTGGTTGAAGATCAATTTGCATGAATGAGAAATTTGGTCCAATATTTTAAGGAAATCGAAATTCAGTGAGTAAGACCATCGCTCAAGCGATGGATCAGTGAAAAGCTAGCGACAATTGTATTCCAATTTTTCATGAAAAATGCTGAATTGCGAAAAGTTAGCGACAATTATGTTGCGACTTTTTATGAAAAAATTGCTGAATTTGGACTGTGTCCCTTCACCCACAACCCTTCATCTTCTATACATAGGACCCCTTGGACGTGTATTTGTAATTCCAATTCTTTCCATATCATTCATTTCATGTCAAGTTATATAAAATACTTTGTATAAGTGATTATGTTATGCATCAAAGTCATGTTTATTGTAGAGAGGGAATTTCGTTAGAGTTCACTGGTTGAAATCATTTGGAGTGCTCCTATGGCTCGACGTGGTCGTTGTATCTTGGAGATAATTGTTGAAAAATCGCTAGCACCGATGTGGGGCAAATTCATCTTAAGGAAAGAGTGTCAAACACTTGTCTTGTCCAATCCATCACTTGCATCTTCTTTTTTTGTTTTCTGATTTCATTTTATTATGATTTGATTTCAGAAACTGGTTAACATCATTTACATATTTGTTCTACGAGATTTGATTCAAAGAATAGTTTATTTTCGTTCAAGAATCAAAAACTACTATTGTTTATTTTTTCAAATCCAAATTCGGTAAGTCGAAACTGTGATTCGAATTCGTTAATGTATAAGGTATGTTTTGTGAATATAATATGCACAATATCGGTGTAATATTCCCATTCAGCTGAGATCGATTACTTCAAAAAATTAAGATGTTAAGCCTATTAAAAAAATTAATGCGAGTTTATAAAAATGATTGAATATAATTATTACAATTATTATTATTTTTTAATCAACTCGCAAATTATTCTTATTTACGAATTGACCCCTAAAAACGTGAGTTTGCAGACCCGTGTTATTTCGCCACTTACTTAAATACGACACCGTAACCTCCTTCCGAAAACCCTCTACTACTGCCGGGCCGGAAGGAGAAAATCAAAACCCTAGGGAGAGAGATACAGTAGAGAGTGAGAATGTCGTCGACGCTGCTGGAGGTGACGCGTGCATCTCACGAAGAGGTGGAGCGGCTTGAAAGGCTAATCGTAAAGGACCTCCAGAACGAGCCGCCGACCAACAAGGACCGGCTCCACCAGAGCCACCGCGTTCGTAACATGATAGAGCAAATCACCTCCTCGACTAACAAACTCGTAATTTCTGTCCAATTTATTAGTTTTTTGCTTTCATTTTATTCTAGTTCAATATTTGTGTTGATTTAATGGTAAAATTAGTAGTTGATGTTGATCTATTTGGTTTTATTGAAATAGATTGAAATATATGAAGATAAAGACGGTGCCAGGAAGGATGAGATTGCGGCTCTTGGAGGCCAGACAGCCACGGGAACCAACGTTTTTAGTGCATTTTATGATAGATTAAAAGAGGTTCGCACTTGGCGGGTTTTTGCTTTTGAGTAGAAGGAAATTTCTGTCTTTTTAACAGGGGCATACTTAATTGTTTGTCTATTGAATTTTCTCGTCTGCCGAAAATTTTCATTTCCTAAATTGAGTACTATGTTTGAGTTATGTGTAGATTCGTGAGTATCATAGACGACATCCAGCTGCACGGGTTCTTGATGCCAATGACGAGTATGAACAACTTCTTAAAGAGGAACCGCAAATTGAGTTCAGCGGGGAGGTTTACTCTCTCTCTCTTCTCTCTCACACTCACGCGCATGCACACCCACTCTCACTCACTCACTCGCACAGAAAAAAGACAGGGCAATTTTTTATTATATTCAAGGTCCTTGAGTCCATTACGGTCAGCTGCAATTTGAATGGATGGTCTTGTGGGCAAAATTGATGGGAAGTTTTAATTTTGAATGTGTATGCATGATGTGCCTTTCCATTTCTTGGCCCCTTGTCTTTGGAGTGTGCCGCATACCCAAATTTCATGTTATAGAAACAATACTGTCATTGTTTTGATTTCAATTTAGCACCATCGAACATGGCACTAGCATGTCAAAAATTACCTAACAATGGAACATTCAAGGTACTTATTTGGTGAACCGGTAAGGTCACACTCACGCGCATGCACACCCACTCTCACTCACTCACTCGCACAGAAAAAAGACAGGGCAATTTTTTATTATATTCAAGGTCCTTGAGTCCATTACGGTCAGCTGCAATTTGAATGGATGGTCTTGTGGGCAAAATTGATGGGAAGTTTTAATTTTGAATGTGTATGCATGATGTGCCTTTCCATTTCTTGGCCCCTTGTCTTTGGAGTGTGCCGCATACCCAAATTTCATGTTATAGAAACAATACTGTCATTGTTTTGATTTCAATTTAGCACCATCGAACATGGCACTAGCATGTCAAAAATTACCTAACAATGGAACATTCAAGGTACTTATTTGGTGAACCGGTAAGGCAATTCAGTTAGATATGGCAATGACTTACCAAACCATCTAGGTGGGTTCTTTCTGCCTGGGTGGGGGGTTTATGTTGCACATGGTGTGTTGTTTGCTGCAGAAAGCTGTTGGAGCTATATGTTCTCTAAAGTTGGTGGGTGGTGTCTTAAGGGACATCGTGGGTTGCTGAAATTTACAAAGTTTCCAATTGAGGGATATATGTAGTTATCGTTGCCAAGTGTTGGGCATTAAGCTGGGTTCCTTGGTAGTTTCTGTGGGGAGTTTTTGGGTTAATTTAATTAAGTCGTAACAGTTGTTACCCATTGTTACTAAAAGCGAGAGTGCCTTCTTGACCATTTTCTAAGTAGGAATTCGGATTTTCATAGAAGTTTGAGTAAGTTATGAGAGAAACTTTGAATTGCATAGTTCCTTGTTCATTTTGTATTCCTTTTCTAATTTAGTAACTGCATATCTACTTTCAGGAAGCTGTTGGACGATACCTTGATTTGCACGAATTATTCAATGACTATATCAACTCTAAATTTGGGGAGAAGATTGAGTACTCCGCTTATCTTAATGTGTTCTCGCAACCAGAGAAGATTTCTCGCAAATTGAAGCTAACGAGGTAAACATTTTTCCTTTTTAATTTATTTTGGATTCTATTTCTTCTTCTCAAACGATTTGTCATTTGTATTTCATGAGCATTATATATTCCTATGTCTGCATCTTGGAGAAAGGAATTGCATAAAGCAAGCAACGAGAAAGATGGTACATATGAATTCTGCTTACCACATCTGTAAATGAGAAGCATTGGGTCATTTGGGGAAGTTTTCCACTTGTGGCAAAAAATGGCAATGTACTTGCACAGTTGCACAACACTACTTACACAAATGGGTTGGGCTGTATCATACAGTATGATTTAGTAGTATCTTTTTGAGCTTGAAAGATACTAGAATCCTTGGAAGTTAGATTTTAAATCTTGCATGAAGAAAGATAGCTGAATGATACTTATTCCAATGAAAAATAAAGAGAAGTAATAGAAAAGAGTAAAAGCTATCCTTTCCAATGAAAAATAAAGAGAAGTAATAGAAAAGAGTAAAAGCTATCCTGCTGCAAAATCATGGAAGTAAACATGCTGGAGTTGCTAATATCTCTGTAGCTTCAAATTTATAAAGGTGCCACTTTATTCATTTTGTGCTTGAATAATAGGTGTCACCACTTCTAAGGATTTTTTCTTCGTTAGGGCACTTTTGGGAACTCGTTGGAGGCTATTGACGAAAATATGTTGTTCCTTATTCTGTCTGTATTGATTAAAAGAATTTGACTTCCACGAAGACATGGCATGATCTTTCAGATTAACAATAAGAAAAGAGTTCATTGCCTTATTGATTAGATTTTGTAATAGTAAATTTAGCACCAAGGGAGCTTAAGCAACTTAACTATCCAATGATTTCCGTGCACAGATAGTAGATCTTTCCTTGTGTAGGATCAGGTAAATAATACAGTATGTGGGACATACTTTTCTATATCGTCTTTCTGTTTTTTGTAATGTAAACTAATTCCTTAATAACTTTGGTATCAACAGGCAATACCAGGAATATATGCAGAAATTACTGGAGTATCTGATATACTTTTTTGAGCGGACAGAGCCTCTGCAAGATCTTGACAGAATATTCTCGAAGGTTCAATTTCGAACATAACTCCCCCCTGTACATTGAGTTTTAGGATCAATGCCAACCGTCTTCTATTGCTTCTGTGAAAGACTCATGTTGTTGCAGTAAAGATGTCACTTGTATTTTGAGCGCAGTTGTGCCCTCATAACAGTTAAAGTTATAATTGAAAGTGTTTCTTTAATTTTTTACTCCTTATCAGTGATGATCTCATCATAGGTATTTGCATCTGAATTTAGATTAATATTGCTAACGACGATTGCGATAATTGGAAAGCAGTCATTTCTGAATTTTAGAACATATATCTACGAACTGGAGGTATAAATTTCTCCATGTTTGTGCTCTCTATAATAAAAAAAAATAATACTTCTCCCTGTAAGGAGAACTTCTGGTATAAGTTTATGATTGGGGAAATATTTTGGTTGCTTTCGTGCATGCAGTCAGCAAGTGTGTTGGCTAATCTGGGAAAGATATGGTTATCTGTACTGTTTCATTTCATGAAATTAGCTCGCATATATGCATCTGTTGATGGGCAGTACCATCTTGAGCTGTGTACTGCAATAATATATTTGCCTGTGAAATTGTAATTTAGAGGAGTCATTTATGATTTGAAGTGACAAACTGATCCTACCACAGTATTCCATAGTTACCCACTATTTTTTTGAGGGGTGGAGGTCAAGTATCTGTGAGTTTTTAGCTCGATTTTTAAAGATATTTCCATATAGAAGTTGTTTAATTCCTAGAAAGTGGATTAGTTGAGTTCAGTATGAATTGTCTGCTTGAAGAATAATAATTTTCTGTATGTATGTGTGTGTATATATATATTTTAAAACGGATGGTTTCTGGCAGGTAATTACAGAATTTGAAGAGCAGTGGACAAATGGAAAGGTTGAAGGATGGGAAAATGAGGGTCAAGAAAATGTTAATATTCCAGCAGAGCATTCTGCTATTGATCTTGATTATTATACTACTGTTGAAGAACTGGTGGAGGTAGGGCCTGAGAGGCTAAAAGAGGTATGGCAGGAGTTCACTGAAGCACTTCTATGTTTTTCCTGCATGGTCTATTTAAATTAACTGGTATTGTGATCTGCATTTATTGTCCAATTTATGCTCTTGGTAACCTGATGTAGGATAGTTGAGAATATTTGGAAGTTAAAACATTAGATGATAAACAAGTTGAAATAACCAGCAGAAGAAGCAGACAAGGTGCAGTAGAAGAAGACAATTGGAGAAGAAGAAACAGACAGAAGAAGAAGAAGAAGAAAGGGAAAGAAAATAGGGGAGGGAGAAAACGTTGGAAGCAAACCACAATTCAATTTATTAATTCATCAACCACCTTTCAATCCCAATTACAATAACATAAATAACAAAATAATAACTTGGGCTTGGGCCAAACCCATATACAAGCCCAATGAGACATAAGTCCAAAATAAGTAACTAAAAGACATAAGCTCAAAATAAATAAAAGATAAAATGGGGATGATGTCCGCATCAACTCTCCCGGGGTGGGAGAAAAACTCGACCCCGTTGAGGAGGTAGATCATAAAAGGCTGCTGTCAATCTCCTAGCCGCAAACTGATCGGTTGAGCAAACTTCTTTCGACGTCTATAGACACGCAAGGATGGTGGTCCGAGTAGAGGAAGATCTTGTTGACTCCTATAATGTTGCAATAAGTCAGGATCAAGCTGTTGAAGTGTCTCTTTGGGGATCCAAGTACAATCAGAATCAGGACGATCCTCCCAACGAACAAGGAAGCGCTGAATGTCTCCATCTTTGGTTAATGTAGTTTGTGCATCTAGAATAGCATCAATTTTATCTTTATGTGCTGCAGCTGGTGGGATTGGGGTAGGAATAACATGTTCAGGATAAGGGTACAAAGATGGAGGTGTGAAAGGATCATCAGCGGGGTGAAATTGACCTTTGTAAGCAACTAAGTCTTCAACATTAAAGGTAGGGTGGTAACCAAAGTGTGATGGTAAGTCAATAACATAAGCATTTGGACCAACACGCTTTAAAATTTTAAAAGGACCAGCACTACGAGCTTGTAATTTGGAAGCAGGCCCAGATGGACGCCGTTTCGGTCTAATTCGAATCATAACATAATCCCCAACATTAAATTCAACATGGCGTTTGTGCAAATCAGCTCGAAGTTTATATAATGCATTACTCGCTTCTAGCTGTTTATTGATCTCAATATGCAAGTCACGCAGATGTTGTGCAAAAGACTCAGCTGACACAGACACACTAGCATGTGGAGACATAGGAATAAGGTCTAACAGCTTCCTAGACTTAAAACCATGAACAACCTCAAAAGGACTCGTACCTATAGACCGATTCACCGAACTATTATATGCAAGTTGGGCAGTAGGAAGAATTAAGTCCCAATTCCTAAGATTTTCCTGGACTAGACATCTTAATAAATTACCGAGACTGCGGTTAACAACCTCAGTTTGACCGTCCGTTTGTGGGTGATATGCAGTAGAGAATTTCAGTTTAGTGCCAACCATACTCCATAGGGTTCACCAAAAATGGCTAGTGAAACGAACATCTCTATTCGAGACAATGGTCTTAGGGAGGCCATACAGCTTGACGATCTCATGGAAGTATAACTTAGTAACCTTAGATGCATCAGAAGTCTTGCTACAGGGAATAAAGTGTGCCATTTTTGAGAAGCGATCTACGACAACAAAAATGGAGTCGTGTTTCTTTGGAGTACGTGGCAACCCTAACACGAAATCCATACTAACGTCTTGCCAAGGACAACTAGGGACGGGGAAAGGAGTGTAGAGGCCTGTGTTCTGCCTTTTGTGCTTAGATCGTTGATAGGTGTTACATGTGCCGACAATCTTGCCCACGTCGGTCTTTAAACTGGGCCAATAGAATTGATGTTCAATTTTCTCTATGATCTTATCACGCCCAAAATGTCCAGCTAACCCACCAGCATGACTTTTCCATGCTATAAAGTCTCGCACTGAAGTCCTGGGGATGCACAACTTATTGGATCTAAAAAGATAGCCCCCCTCCAAACGGAAACCATCAGCGGTGTCCAACTTCCCATTTTGCAAAGCAAGAAAAATGTCCCTGAAATCGGGATATGACTCGTACTCTTCCTTAAGTCGTTCAAACCCTAGAACCTTAACACTCATGACGGACAACAAGGAGATGCGATGGCTTAAAGCGTTAGCAGCTTGATTTTCAACACCCTTCTTATGCTTTAAGACAAAAGAATAGGCTTGCAAATATTCGATCCAGCGGCCATGCCAAGAATTCAATCATCTCTGGGAATTAAGGAAACGAAGGGCCTCATGGTCAAAAAAGAGGACAAATTCGTCGGGTAATAAGTAATGACGCCAATAGCGCAAGGCTTGTACAACTGCGTACAACTCCTTATCATAAGTCGAGTACCGTTGCTTGGCATCATTTAATTTCTCACTAAAATAAGCAATAGGATGGCGTTCTTGACTCAAGACTCCACCTATTCCTACCCCTGACGCATCACATTCGACCTCAAAAACTTTGGAAAAATCTGGGAGTCGAATGACAAGAGCCTCTGTCATTCGCCTTTTGATTAATTGAAAGGCCTTAGCTGCTTTCTGCGTCCAATGAAATTCTCCTCTCTTCATACACTCTGTGATAGGAGCCATAATCGTACTAAATCCCTTGATGAAACGACGATAAAATGTAGCTAAACCATGAAAACTCCTAACATCATGTATATTCTTGGGATCTGGCCACTCAACAATTGCCCGAATCTCTGTAGGATCAGCAGATACTCCCGTAGTGGAAACAACAAATCCGAGAAACACAATTGTATCCGTGAAGAAAGAACATTTCTTCACATTGGCATACAAGCTTGTTGCACGCAATGTAGAGCAAACTTGCGTGGGATGATCTCGATGTTGTTCCCTTGTTTTGCTGTACACAAGGATGTCATCAAAGTATACGACAATGAATTTGCCCATGAAAGGCCGAAGGGCCTGTGTCATCACCCTCATAAAAGTACTTGGAGCATTGGTTAGTCCAAAAGGCATTACCAACCACTCGTATAGGCCATCTTTCGTTTTAAATGCAGTTTTCCACTCGTCTCCTGGGCGGATACGAATCTGATGATACCCGCTCTTCAAATCGATTTTGGAAAAGATTGTGGCACCGGCCATCATATCTAGTATATCATCAAGTCGAGGGATGGAAAAACGATTCTTGACAGTAATCTTATTGATAGCGCGACTATCAAAGCACATCCTCCAAGAACCATCCTTCTTAGGTGTGAGAAGGGCAGGAACTGCACAGGGGCTTAAGCTTTCACGGATGAAGCATTTGTGAAGGAGTTCACCCACTTGTCTCTGGAGCTCAGCATGTTCAGTAGGATTCATTCTATAGTGAGGCAAATTTGGGAGAGACGAAACTGGAACCAGATCTATAGCATGTTAGATATCCCGTAAGGGAGGTAATAAATCAGGGAGGTCGTCAGGAAATACATCCTTAAATTCTTGAAGGAGGGATTGAGCTTCAGTAGGGGTTGCTAGTGGGGAATCGGGCGGGACTTCCAAAACAAACACAGTAAATACGATTGAGTCATTTACGATTGTCCGTTCAAATTCTGTAGGGCTAATCACATGTAGTCCTTTCCTCTCGCCAACTTTTTTGGTTTGGTGTAGGTCAACAAATTTTGGTGGTAAAGGATTAAGATGAATTTTTTTCCCATTAAATACAAATGAACATGAATTTGATTGCCCATGGATAGTTACATCCAGATCGAACAACCAAGGTCGACCAAGAATGACATGTCCGACATCCATAGTGATGACGTCACATCATATATGATCCTTATACTCAAGGAACTGGATAAGCACCAGACAACGCTCTTTCACAGCAATAGAAGAAGTGTCAACCCAAGAGACGCTGTATGGTTGGGGGTGCGGGACTGATTTCAAACCAAGACAGGACACTGTGGTCACAGAGACCGCGTTGATACAACTCCCACTGTCAACAATAATCTTACAACCCTTATCGTTGATCTTAATGTAAGTATGAAAAATGGCATGGCGGCGCCAATCATCGACATCCCTAGGTTGGGTAAGGGTGCATCGTACAACACTCAATCGAGAGGTATCGGGGACTACAGAAGCAGGACCTAGACCTACAGGAAGGGTACGAAGGCAACCTAAGAAGGAATCCTCATTGTCACCCAAATCGTCAAACTCTTCAAAGTTAGGCTCATAGACTTGATCTTCTAAGGGTTCATCAACAACATCCTTTCGCTCATCAATAACTAATGCTCGGCTCGGACATCTAGAGGAGATATGGCCGAAGCCTTTACAATTGAAGCATTGCAAACGAGAAGAAGTTCTTGAAGTTTCAGGAGCTTTACCCTTATTGTCTAAAGCAGGGAGCGTGTTAGACGGTGGAGGTCCTAGGAGAGATTTGGTTGGAGGAGGAGGTGCCGATGAGATAGATGGACGGTTATCACTACGCCTTCCATACGAAGTCTTAGTAATTGACTCGTAATCTCAAACTAAGGAATAAGCGTGATCGAGAGTGGTGACACCTCGCAGGACAAGCTCACGCCGAAGATCGTCTCTAAGGTCCTGTTTGAACCTACTTAAAGTCATAGCTTCATCCTCGACGATGTGGCATCGCATTCGGAACTCATCAAATTGAGTAACATAGTCAGTCATTGGACGGTTTCCTTGTGTGAGGGTATTCCATTGGTCCAACAAATTACTCCTATAAGAGTGGGGCAAATACTTCTCTTGAAGGCGGCGTTTCATTTCCCCCAACCTCCAACGGGAGGTGCATGACGCCTTTCAAGAAGGTCTTCAACGCTTTCCCAAAAGAGTTGGGCAGTACCAGTTAATTTCAAACTGGCAAATTGAACTCTTCGATCCTCTGGTACTCCATACCACGAAAAGAAGCGATCCATATCTCTAACCCACTGTGTAAAAACTCTAGGATCTAAACAGCTATCGAAAGTAGGAGCGTCTAATTTGATGTTTCGAAAGTAACGCTCCTCATAGCGAGGAGGTGAATGAGTTCCATAAGGGTCATGGTCTCGTTCATGATTGCGCTCCTGTTCCCCATATTTTCGTTCACGACGAACACGCTGTCAACCACCATGTCGACGACGATAGGGTATGTTATGAGACGCTTTAGAGTTATCAGCGTCGGTTGAGGGGGAGGTTTGCTCTAGATTGTTCACCCTAGCAGCTAATTCTCTACTCTCCTCACGAGTAGTAGTCACCTCGGTTTGGACGGTTGTTAATTGAGCCTGTAATTGAGCTAATTGTCGAGTAAGGGTATCAAATTGAGATGGGTCCATGGTCACAGTATTGGAATTTGGTATGACAAAACGACCACTACGCAAATGCATGCAACATAACACTAACCTAATGCGATGATTGACGAGATCAATAAACAACTAGTTCAAGAAATGAAAATAACAACTTCAGCATTTAAATTATTTTATTTTATTTTTTTGAAATTATGAAAATTCAAATGTGTCAAGCTGATATTGCTGGTCTATGCAAAATAATAAAGTAGGGGTCAAACACTAGTCAACGACATAATCACGTAAAATAAATGGGAGGAAATGCGAAAATATAACAAGTCGAAGAGTTAACAGATATAGGGTCTAGTCATGTGAGTTTTATGTAAAGACTACAGCACAAAAATTAATCGATGCAATTCAAGATAAACAGAAATATAACTGAGGATAAATTTAAACAATGACTTTCCTTTCGTTCGTTCAGAAGCTGCGTCCAATCAACTGGAATGAAAGAGGCACATGAAAAAAACGATGTTAGAAAAAAATAACTCTTTTTTTTTTTATTTTACAAATAAAATTTCTAACCAAGCAAATGGACCAAAACGGATATACAAACGGGGGGCCTTAAACAAAACTAAAATACAAAATACTTGAATTACACCATATAACAAAACAGGGTCGATACTAATGCCCAAAACATATTGGACTGGACACCGAAACTGCAGTCCACAAAACCTCCTTATTTGGCTTCGTCTGTGGCTTTGATGCTCGACTAGGTGTTGGCCGATGGTAGTGAGATATTGTTGTAGCGTATGGATGGCAGAAGTAGGCTCGTTGTTCTTGTGTAGAGAAGATGAAGTTTGGGTAGCAGTGGTCGCGAGAAGTGGGTAGCGACTGTGAAAAGAAACGGTTGCTGCGTCGACGGTGATCTGATTTTCAGCAACAGCGGTCGGCTTCTTCGACGGTGAGTTCGTGATTGAGTTCGGATTATGGGTATCATATGATTGGGGCTTAATGGGCTGTTAATTTGGTGGTTTCGTGAGTAGTGATAGTTAGTTGATAATTTGGAGGTGATGAGTCGCTTGTGGCGTGATTGTGTGGTGGGTTATTATGGTTTTAATGATCGTGGGCTGTTATTTTTTTATTTTTTGTGAATGGGTGTTGTGGTGGGTTGAGGGTTGCTGAATTTGACAGTTATTGTGAGGTTACTGGCGGTTACTGTCGCTGGGCTGGTAGTGTGGATGGTAATGGAAGATATTGATGCAATCGGGGATTTGAAGCAGTTGTTTGAAAATAATTTTGTATCAAAGTTTCAGACCTCTCCCAAATATGAAATTGAAGGAAGACAGGCTGTGGGTGAGATTATACGACTGCAGATGGTGGACAATTTGTGAAGATGACAGGATACAATTTCAGGCCGAGCTTTAAGTTAATGAACAACTTACTGCCTCACAAAACTGATGGTAAGAGGTTGATGTAGTTAACCAATGCCCAGGTTTGGCTCTGGTACCAAAATCTGATGTAGGATAGTTGAGAATATTTGGAAGTTAAAACATTAGATGATAAACAAGTTGAAATAACCAGCAGAAGAAGCAGACTAGGTGCAGTAGAAGAAGACAATTGGAGAAGAAGAAACAGACAGAAGAAGAAGAAGAAAGGGAAAGAAAATAGGGGAGGGAGAAAACGTTGGAAGCAAACCACAATTCAATTTATTAATTCATCAACCACATTTCAATCCCAATTACAATAACATAAATAACAAATTAATAACTTGGGCTTGGGCCAAACCCATATACAAGCCCAATGAAACATAAGCCCAAAATTAAGTAACTAAAAGACATAAGCTCAAAATAAATAAAAGATAAAATGGGGATGATGTCCGCATCATAACCTTTTGGCTGTACAAAATTATTTTGTAATGATGAATGATAACTCATTGCTCTAATGGATTGGGGATTTAGGTAGCACCACGCTGTAATGCTGTGAACTGGCATTTACAAGTGCCTGTATATTCCAAGCAATGGTTTACGGAACAAGCATTAACAATGAAAATGCTATGTAATTTAAACACTGTGTACTCTAAAATACCTCTCCGACATGTAGCATTTTCTCTCCAGTATGCTTTCTATGTCCTACAATTGGATCCATAGTTTCTCATCTGCATTTAAAGTTCTTATGAAAAGTTGCTTTTCTTGGTTGTGTTACACATGATTGATAAATATCCTGCATGATAGGCATTGGCTGCACTAGGTTTGAAGACAGGCGGTACCCTTCAACAGCGTGCAGAGAGGCTTTATCTTACAAAGGTCAGGATTTATCATCTTTTCCTTGTAATTATCAATATCCTTTTACCAAGGTTTTGTTTAATGTTTTAATTTATGGAACTCTCCCTATTCCATTGCCCTGTCTTTTTTGCTTCTCTTTTTAACTTTTCCCCTTCCCCTGGTTGGGGCAGGGGGTGAGGTGGATATGAGACATGGGTATCTCTTGTGTCTGCGCATCTACGTATGCTTGATGGAATGGAGAGTTTATATATATATATGAGAATTTGACTAAATTGATATAACTTACTCTTTTGATCTTCCTTTGCTACAGTTTTATACAATTTCTGGTTGATAGATTATTTTCATTGATCTACTGTATATTACTGCAAAACCATTTACACAATTAAAACATCCGAGTGACCAAGTCAGTATTATGGTGGGAATTCAATTATTAGTTGCTGTAAGTTCCCTTTTCAATTTAAGGGTATGGTTTTTTTTACTGGTTAATGGTTGCAGTCCATGGGTTCTGATAAGGTTAAATTCGTGCACCCATACTTCCACTCTTTCTTCAAAGCTTAGAAGATCGTTTTCAATGAAAGCTTGGCAGTTAATTGAACCCTGTTTGATCTTGATTACTTTCCCACCTCCTAGTTTATTATTTTATTTAACTGTGTCTTTGAGTATACAACTTCCCTTCCAAGTACTTGTATGTATATAATATCTATAAATTCTCTATATTCTCTTTCAGAATGAGGATTGGATTAACAATTAGTAGGAATCTCTCTCTAGAGTCAATTAGTGGTGGTCTCTGTCTGTGAGCTTCTTTTTAAATATCATGCTGAATTTGTCTTGGCAAGCACGCTGATCTTTAATATTTCTTTTTTAGCATACACCTCTTGAGAAGTTGGATAGGAAACATTTTGCCAAAGGCTCTCATGGTCCGCAACAAAATGGTAATGCTCTAACTCCACAACCAAGTGCAGATGCAAAAGAGATTGCCCTGATTGAAGCCAAAGTTAAAAGGTTATGTGACTTGTTGCAAGAGGTGAGCTAACCCTATCCATTCCGGAAGAAAAGATTTTTTCCCTTTTTTTCTTTTCCTGTCTTCGTCTTCTCTTTCTTTCTGATGATTCTAGATAATCCATGAAGCTCTGTAATTTTTCTTCTTTATTATGCATTTAACTACCTCCTTATATATTTTTTCTCTGGTTTTTCTGTACTGTACAGATAATTGTCCGAACAAAAGAAAACGTCGAGAAGAAACAGGCGTTGACATACGAGGAAATGGAAGCAGAACGTGATGAGGTAATTTCCTCCAACCCCAACACGCACACGAAAAAAAGGGAAAGATGATGGTAATGGTGTCCTTGAAAAGATTGTCTAGTTGGTGTATTGGCTTTCCGTGGTATTGGAAATAGCAAGCATAAAGGATGATGGCCTATCTGATATCATTATATATTTTGCATTGCCTAGAAATTTTTAGTATCTATTCTCTTAAGTTACACCTCAAAAACAATGCAAAGATGGATTAGTGTTGCAGCATTATATGATAAATTTTCATAGGTGATGGAATGACGAAATGATAGCTAGTATGAGTTATTTTATTGCCTTATCAGTTTAAAACTTGAAACAGTTCCACATCTGATATTTGGATGTGTTAAACCTACTGTAGATTCATTTGCACTTCTATCTGACAATATATTTTTGTTTGATTTGAACTTTTTGATCAGGAAGATGTACAAGCTGAATCTGAGAGTGATGATGATGAGCAGCAGATATATAATCCCCTGAAATTGCCCATGGGGTGGGATGGGAAGCCTATCCCCTACTGGTTATATAAGCTTCATGGGCTTGGGCAGGTAATTGTCATTTACGTTCACAAGTTCATGGTGTCATACGAAATAAGTTTCTTTCTAATTGGTCACAACAAACTCTACGAGCAAGTGGTCAGATATTTATGTCTTAATGTCTCTCTATAAATATGATATCATGCACAGGTAGGCTTCTAAGTGAACTTCATATGTAACCTTAGCTTGTTACTGCATTCCTTTTCAGTTTCTAATCAAAATTTCCTCGTTACGAGCTTATAGAAGTGGAAAAAAGGGAACAAAAGGTAAACGGTTTACAAGAGAATGAAAAGGAAAAAAGTGACAGCTGTGAAATGGTAACAGCCCATTAATTGTCTAACTTCCTTTGTGCCAAAAACTTTGTGCATAGTGGAACTCAGAAGGAGAAAATAGAGGTGGTATTACCATCTAATGCCATATCCTTTCTGACGTTTTCCATTTGAGCACAGTAACAACATACTTGAACGTAGAAAGAAAGGCATAATTTTATCAAACGAATGAGAGGGTGTCTGTTTTGGTTCAGATTATATCAGCATCTTGTTATTGTTTTCTGTTTTGAGGAGTCTATTACTGATTTGGTATTTATTTTGACATCATCAACTGACTCAAGGTCTTGTTATGAATGTTTTCAGGAGTTCAAATGTGAGATTTGTGGAAACCATAGTTATTGGGGCCGGAGGGCTTACGAGAGACATTTCAAGGAATGGAGACATCAGCATGGAATGCGATGTCTTGGTATTCCAAATACCAAGAACTTCAATGAAATAACATCTATTGAGGTTTGCTTTCTTGACACTTCATTTCAGCATACCTTCATTATCCCGTCATTTGTTTTTCAGATGTTTGGTGTTTAGATCTATCTGATGAATGATGTTTGACTGCATTTATATTGAGAATATTCACGCTTAGTGTGGCATGTTTGGTGAAGTGGAATAGACACTACTGTACAGCATCAATTCGTCCCATAAGACATATAACGCACGATATTCTCTGATCGCTCAGGAAGCAAAGCAACTGTGGGAGAGAATCCAAGAACGGCAAGGGCTGAATAAATGGCGACCTGATCTTGAAGAAGAATATGAAGACCAAGAGGGCAACATCTACAATAAAAAGACGTACAGCGATTTGCAACGCCAGGGTTTGATTTAAAATAAACAGTTCCACTGTATTCCTTCATTATTTCCTGAATTTTATGGTAAGACTTCTCAAATCAATTCATACTTGTTATCCAGTGACTGTATATTTACTTCCAGTTATTTATTTGTGTATTGTATAATGTAGGGCACTAGATCTATTGCTCTACAGCCATCAGTCTTGACATACAGAGGACCTAATCTTTTGTGGCATGTAATTCGGAGTAGAAAAAGAAGGAAGCTTTATAAAGATTATAGCAAGGAACGACCTAATATGCATGATGTATCTTTTATGTGAAAAGGGGAAACGCAGGCTTGTTTAATTCCTTATGAGATGCGTACTTATTTTAGATTTTGTAATTGAAACATTTTTCTTAAATTTTCGTCAAAGAGACCTTCCGTTATAACATTGTAATCCCAAAATTGCAATTTTCTGTTTTCCTTTTTGAGTCTCTATTTGTCCATGTTTTTGTTTGAAGGTATCGAACTATTTAGTTACCTTTCTTTTGAATGTGTCAAAAAATTGATAAAAGTCCTTAGGTGAGGCTTGCATAGAGAGCATTTGTATTGATTTGGGAGCGAATTTCGAGTCCATTCTACGAGTTTTTGTTGTTGCATACAAAAATGAAAAATGACGAGAGAATTAAACGTTTCTTGTTGTTGCATACAAAAATGAAAAATGACGAGAGAATTAAACGTTTCACTTGCATTCGCTCGTCAATGTAACCTAGTCAAGTAGAGAGTTTAGTACTTGTGACCAATAAGGCCTTTTATTAATAGAGTATACTCGATTCCTATGACAAGAATTCATTGCTTTGATAATCTTTGTTATTGCAAGATTTTAAATGATGTCTCAATCTTCGTCCAGTATATTACTGATAGTCCTTTGTGAGTGTGCCGAGTGGAGCAAGCACCTCTTTCTTTCTTTCGGAGCTGTTTTGGTGGAGGTACGACGCCCATTACTTACAGCACCACCGAGCAACCACATCTACGGAGCAAGGGCGTTAAGCCTCCTGTATTGGGCCCCTTAAGAGGCCTTGAGATTATTGTAACGAAGATCTACACAATTCTTGTGACTTCATTAATTACGGAAGTTACCTTTTGAACAAAAATATATGGATCTGATCATGGGGACAACTTGGGCGATCGTATTTGTTTTTATTTATTTACTTGCTGATTTTCATTTGAATTCACATTTACTCTCCCAAAAAGGACTCAAATTTAGTTTAATGACTCAGTAAGGTTCTGCTTTTACCACTTGAACTAGATATTGATGAATAAAATACTTCACTTTATTTTATAAATAAAAAAATCCAGGCGTAACCCGAGTCTTTTATCTAATGCTAGAAGGGAAAAAAAAAAAATGAAGGCAAAAAAAAAAAAAAAAAAATAAAAATTTTGCACGAATTCTAAAGGCTTTTGGGATTCCTTGGAGAGTACTATAAATATCAACTCTTAACACATAATTATGGTTGGAGAATTAATTGTAAAAGGAGGCAAAAAAAAAAAAAAAAAAAAAATTAATATTCAATTCTAACCAAAAATTTCACGTACACTTTTTATTCACAAAGAATGGACCTAGTAAACAAGAGGGCAGAACCATTTACACATCTAAGGACAAGCAACCTAGAATCTACATATGTACCACACACAATTTTCGACAGATCAAATAATTCAGGTGGAACCTGCAATCTAACTTCTTGAATTACATTCTGTGCTGTTTTCATGTCTCGACTCAACGGCTCATCCAAACTCATAGTCACTTCCACATCACTAGTTACAAGTTTAGCTACAGGCAAACTAGAAGGAAATTCCTTTATTGGAATTATGTTCTTCCACTTTTTACTAGACAACTTTTCTTGTATAGAATTGTGAACATCCAATGTGGAAGAATAAAAGTTTCTGGTGTTGGGTTCTTCCTTTATATATAATCGTCTCCCAGCTCTCAATTTAGATAGCGAACTTACTTGCATATTTCCGCTTATGCCAGCCTTGTCGTGAGCCCAATCTTGTCCGAGCATTACCGTGAAGCCGATGTCTGATGCTACTGAAAAAGTTGCATTTGGCTTTGAAAGTTTAGACACAGTGAGTAGCACGTCTCCAATAAGGACTCGGGCAGGAGGTTGCCGAAGGGTCAGTCCTATGTGCCTGCCAGTGCTATATAGGAGGCGCCAAGTGCCTGGAAGCAAGTTGAGCCAGTGCTGCATTTTAATAAGAATGGGGTTTTCAATCACTTGAAGAGAAACTAGTTGAATCTGATATAAGCACCACAATGTGAAAAACAAACAGATAGGGGAATGTGCAACGGAAATATGAATTGAAAGAGAATAATATGATGTCAAGAAAAGGGGCGATGGTGGTTCAGGTTACCAAGTGATTTACACAAAACTGAGAAAATAAAAGAAAATAATTCAAAAATTCTTACCTTCGGCTTTGAGTGAGGATTTAACATCTCCATTAGTTCAATAAAATGTGCAAGCCTCCGTCGCTGAGAAATTTGAGTATAGCAAATTAGCAAGTTTATGAAAAATAATAACTTTTTAACACAGTTCTTGCAGATATAAAGTGGAACCAGTGAAGCAAAAAGCATTAATGGAAAACAAATGTGGCAAAATCTTTTGCCCCGGAAATTTGGCATAATCAACAGGTGTTATGGTTCCCCCGTGGAGGTCCTTTTAAATAGTTTAACCTATTCAATTCTTCCTATTATTTGTTAATAATGAAATTGCTTAAGCACATAATTTAGTGTACAATAAGAACACAAAGAAACCTTGAACTACGTCAAGTCGAATTAGCCTAGAATTATAATATTTTTCCAAGAAAGATAAGTTCCCAGAAAAGTCCACTTATTTTGTGCTTTGAGTGACATGAAAAGTAGAATCATTTAGGCAATAAAACATGGAAGAATAAGAAACCTACTACATTAACAAATTTAAACCATACAAATTTGAAAAGTTTGAAATATGGATCCCTTGTGACAAAAAGAAGAAGAAAATAATGGACTCCCTATATGAATCCCAAAATTTGAGCAATATAGAATTGAAAAAGGCTTTTGATAGCGGAGAAAAAAACAATATATAATTTAGACTGAAGGTCTAATAAACCTGCTGCCTGCCATAAATGTATTCCTCTGTGATTCGAACTGCAGTTGAACCAAGACTCCATCTGATCATGCCCATGGGTGGGTCCACCCTCCATCTTGGTCCACAGAGGAAAGGATGCCTCAGTGCATTTAAGCAACTGCAGAAATTAATAAAGTAAACAAATTGGCAAGAAAGTAACGTGTGTTTTAAATGCACAATGACCACACATGTTTGACGTGCCCATTTTAACATAGATGCACGCAAATTCATCATTACAACCACCATAAAGGTTTGCTTACCTTATTCTTTGTGAAGGTTTGGTTGCAAGAAGTAAGGATAGCAAGTTCCAGCCTGCACCCCAATTTCTATCAAGGATCTGCAAAAAGCATAATATATGAGCACATCTTTGTGATAATGGAAAGAAGAAACAAGATAACGATATGTATAATGGATTATTTACTAACTTGGAATCCAACATTTTTGGACGAAGAATTTCTATTGACAACATGCATCAGAAACTCACGCAAGCAGGAAGGGTCGGTTCCCTGAAAGTGGCCAAAAAAAAAAAAAAAAAAGGATATGACAAAAGCTAAATGCAAAAATTCCATTCATGAGTCTAAGAATATTTTGCAGATTGAATATGTAATACCTTGGAGAGGAATGCTTTGAACTTCGAGAAAATGAGCGGATCCATTAGGTCCCTCAACACCATTTTAGCCAGGACAAATCCAACGCATCTAACAGACACGAAGAGAAAGAGGTATCTCATGAATAACTTGTAAGATATTTGAGTTTAGAATACACTTATTCAGTATGTGTATCATACCTCATGTCAAATGCAATCATCATTTGCCGCCTATCCATATAGCTGCCCATTTTGCTATCATCAGGACTGTACTCATGAAAGTCGGCAGCATTGCCCAATATCCCCACCTAAAAAATTGAAAAGTGATGACTATACAAATGGAGTAGGGCATTTACTGAAAAGACAAAAATAAGAGAAAAAATGAAATTGACCTATATGATTCATTAAAGTATCAAATTACATGATCCCTGTCAAGTATAATAGCACATCTCAACAGTATTGTAGCAGTTGTCACTATGAGAAGTTACATCACCATGTCAAGACAACGTGCAGCCATGTACTTTTTCAGGGAAGTCAAATTTAGATCACTCACAAAGTTATAGACCTAACAGTAGGTTCCTAAGTTCTATCGAATAATGGAAAGCTTATACTCACTTTGATATGTCTATCCACTGGACAAATATGCAAATTTTCAAGTCTCAACTCTGTATGGGCAAGTCCATGGCTGTGTAAGTAATTCACCTGGGATGAACATGAAACATAAACATCATGAACAGTCGAATTCTGACAACAATAATTCATTTGCTTATATGCTTGTGACACAATAATACTATGAAAATAAATCATACTCCGATTAGGAGATCCCTCATTAAAATCCGAATAAGTCGTAACTGTCGAGAAACTGCTGGCCCTCCTACTGTGTCATCTCCTACTCTCCTAACAGACTCCTCATCCAAGGCAAGAGTAGCTTCCAAAGTTGGAAGCCAATCTGATTGTTGAAGCCAATGCCTCAAGGAAAAGCTACCATGGTACTGCAGAAGAAAAGAGTTAAAATTCTCAGTATTCTTGCAAGCCTCATCAGTGATCATTTTGCTGGGTGGAGTATAGGAAAATAAATTTGACAAGATGCCAATTAAAGTCAAGTGATTATATTAATGCATGTTATATACTGTCAAACACACGAACAAACAGAAGCACCAAACAAAAAATCGATTTGGTTTATACTTTTTTTTCTTCATTACACAGTCTACTCCAAAACTATTAGTATTTTCCTCTAGTTTGCAGGACAGACAGGAGTTGAGAGTACGGAAAACAAGAAATGTATTTTAATAGAAAATAACTTACTCCGTGAACAAGAGTAAATGAATCACTGTCTCCTGTTGTGGATGAGCAAACATAACCATGAACATTCATTGCATAAGAATGGTACATTAGTCGTCGATGAGTCAACCTCTTTAACACCTACAATGAAACACCATAGAAGATAGTGAAGCAAGTCTGAGATCACTAATTCTGTAATAATATGACATTTCCAATCATTTCACAAACCTCTATTGCCCGTCTTCCCCTACGCTTGGCCTGAGCACTAATAAGCCGCCGAAGAACAACTCTCGTGTTATACAGTGGACTGCATTATCTTAGAAACTAATATTAAAATCTCCTTCTCTCCCCAAAATTTTAGTCATACTCAGCTTAAAGAAAAGTAAATCAAAACAAACCTACAAGGATCTTTCATGGTGGCTTCATACACTAACTCATTCCCCTGCATGACAGATAGCCAAAGCAGTAACCATAAATCAGACCAGCCACATTGCAGAACATATCATTTCAAGTACAAGTTTTCTTTTCATACCCTGCCACATAGACCGATGCTAACACGATCATGAATTTTGAAGTCTGACATCTTGAACTTCATCACATGGCTTAAATCATCATCCTCCACAAAACCAGAGCTAGTTGCACTAACATTTTCTTCAGATTCCAACGCATGAGTTACACTTTCCTTTGATGCTAAACACTTGATTTCTGCCTTTTGCTTCCGCAAATAATTATCATTGATCCTTGAAATCGGGAGCAAAAACTTTTGTCGCATCAACAAATTACGGTTATTCAGTAACCGGAAACAAGGTAATTCAACACCTTCAAGAGTAGAACTCGACCATACTCCAATTGACAATGCCATCTACAATCTAAACAAACAAAATTCAAAAATCCAATAAAATTTCATAAACTTCTTACCTACTAAAAACGGAGATATATTTACCAATAGCTGCAGATTACACCGCTACAACACAAAATCACTAACAATAAAACGAAAAAATTGTAAATTAAACAACAATTGGTTCAATTTTTTAATTTTTTTTCATATTCTAATCACATTACAGTTAGATCATTATCTGTAGCCGAAAAATTACTAAAATATACACCCACCCTCTAAACCTAAGCTAAATATACTAATAGCAGCAGATTACAATGTATTATACTATAAGACAATCATAAACATATAAAGCAAAAAATGTGTGAATCAAACATTATAAAGCAAAAAATGTGTGAATCAAACATTATTGTGCACTGCTGTAAAAATCAGTATTAATGATGAAGAACAAGGACAACACTTATGCTTTACTGAAGCTAAATTTACTGCTGTTTCCTTCCATATTTTTTATAGGTACATCCCACTCTAAGTTTATCCCTAATAAAATTTTAAAAATTTTAGAAAATACTATTTACATCCACATCATATTCCAATCTTGTCGTTATTAAATTCATTCATTTAAATACTATGTATTCACATGAATTTTATTTATTCATCCGACTTTAAATACATCCCTATCACTATATATTCGCCCAATCCCTAAAATCATAAACTCTTAAACCAAATGAATTAAATAAGAATAAAGCCGAACTGATTGAACATTAAATTAACATGAAATAAATTCTTTGTCATTAAAGTTCTGAGCATTAGAATGCTTCAAACAACAAAGGCTAAAGAAATAAAGAAGAAGAAAGTTCGATTAAGCAAACTGAATTTTACTATCTTTGTTGGCTACAATTATTCTTCTTTCTTGATTAACTGATGAAACTGCATCAGATTCCGTTTTGCATTCTTTGAAATCCGATATGATTCCCGGCATAGAAATCACATTCAGGGCCACCATCGCCGATAATTATATTAATGTATTTTTCTCTATCTATTAGGATTCTAGTTAAGCATAAATGAAAATAAAAACTATTTGATCAATTTGGAGTTAAGTACTTTTATTTATTTTTGTTAATGTCGATTTAAGTAAATTTACATAGGATTTAAAATATAACAAAATTTAATTTTTAAAAGTGGATGTATATATAAAAAGTGTGAATGGAAATAGTGGTACCCTTAAATTATCCTACTTTACAAGATGAAATCATGTATGTGTAAAACGATAAAGATGTAAATCAAATAACAATTAGTGTATTATTTTCATATTTTAATCATATTAAAGTTAACCCATTATAAAAATTAACCAACGATGAAGAGGAACACGGAGACGGCTAACAGAAGTATATTGACATAAGAATTGTAGGAGTAAGAACTGTGAGGTATTCAATTAAAAGTTCATGACTCAAGTTGACAATACTACGTGTACACACACCTACTAAAACTAATAGCAGCAAATTACACTTTAACACAAAATCATACATAAACAAGACAAAAAAAAAAAAAAAATTGTAAATCAAACAACAATCGGTGTAATTTTTTCACACCGAAGCTAAATTCACTAGTAGCGACAGATAGCAATATGTACAAAATCATAAACAAATTAAAAAAAAGGTGTAAATCAAACAACAATTGTAGTAATTTTGATCGTATACTATAAATTGATCATTATTGATTGGTTCTGATACAGAAAAAGAAGAAGGAGAGTGAGAATCTCATAAGCTTACCGGAGAGAGCAATTGGAGGAAGAAGAAATGGGGAGGGGTTATGTAAATAGAGAAGCGTGCGAGAGCAGCGTGTAAGATGACGCCTTAAGCGTTTTGACGTGAGATTTTCGCATGTCGGCGTCCGCCCCCCACCCAATACTAATTAAAATATCTGTATTCTACTAAAAATGGATAATCTTTATCTAATTCTCTGGACTTGTATTAGAATACAACTTTGTACATGGGACAATGTCGTAAAATAAATAAGGGTGCGTTTGATTACAAGTAGGAAAATTACATGGAAAGAAAATGAATTCCAGGGAATTGAATTACCTAGAAATTGTTTTCATGGAAATTGTAAATTATTGTGTTTGATTGTATAAATTTTTCATGTGGAAAATGTTGAAGTAAAAGTATTTTTTGATGTTCGTTTGACTTTGTTTTACGTGGAAATTGTCAATTTCAGGGATATCCTCTTTTACAATTATTCCTAAAATTTGTTCCCATTGTCAACAATTAAAAAAAATTAAAAAAAGCAAAAAAAAATAAAATAAAAATAAGGTGGAAAACCAAAAACCACCTATCCCCTAGGAAAAAAAAGGTGGAAAATCACGCTTTAAGGTGTTGTACCTAGAAATTCATGGAAAATCAATTCCCTGGAAAATTTTGTCAATCAAACAGGCCAAAAGTGAAAGTTGGAATTCGAATTCCAAGTTCCATGGAAAATTTCGTGTAATCAAACGGGGCCTAAATGTATAAGGTGAGAAATGAATATGTGCATCCGGACAATGATCGAGAATAAAATATGGAAATGATGATTTCGATGATATTTTGCATATGAATGTGTAAAACAGTTATAATGTAGCGTAACGTAGAAAATTATAATATTTTATGGACGTATCGATATATGGAGAGAAGGAAATGTTATAACGAGAGAAGTTTTGATATAATAATTTTATACGCACACGCTATAGGACTGTCCATTCAAATCACGACACATCGAATATTGAGCTATTCAATTGTAATACCTCGCATCCAACACTTACTTTATTTTCTTTCTTATACCCCCTAGACATCGAAGTGCACGTTATGAATGATTTAAAGTTTGAGGCGTCGTGATTTAAATAAACGATCTTACCTCATGTGCATATGGAATTGTCTCATTGAATAAGGTCAATTTGGACTGTGATTGCACAACAGTTGGGTTATGTTTTAAAAAAGGTCAAGGGCAAGGTTAACTTCTGTGCCTAGGTAGACTTTTTAAGATAATGGAGGTGAATAATATGGTAAGTGCGGAAGGGTGTTTAAAGAAGGTATATGATTGTTATTCATCACATCAAACCATCATATTTGAAAATCTATCTGTTGTGTGAAGCCCGTAACGACTACATTTTTCATTCTCATTCTTACATTAATGTGGCTCAAACTTTTTACTGCAAGACTATTTGTTCTATTTCTGGAAAACAAATTTTCTTGCTGATGGGATTTTTTTCATCAAAGCAAACCCGATTGATTAATGTAGATCCACAAGAACAACTCGGATAATGGACAATTCAAACCTCTTGTCGGAGCTCGGAATGACCTCTAGTATGGAACTATTGTTCAAAAGCTATTCGTCGAGTTAGGGAGATAGAAAAGCTTCGTAGTCGAAGACCATGATTTAAATTTATTATTCAAAAGTTATTCGACAAGTTTTAAAGGAGAAAGTTCCTTGTTTGAGACCATGGTTTTGGTGGAGAGTCTTCAGTGTTGACTGCAAATATTTCTACATTCAAGTTACAAGTAAAATGTTCTTCGAATTTACAAAGGTAGCTTTTAGGACAATTTGATAGCATCCACCTTAGTGTTATCAAAACAGGATTGGATTGGCTATTGATATATTATTCATGGACACTTTCAAAGACTCTCTCAACCCGATCCGTGTATACTTCTTCCCAAATTTCATTTTCTAGGTTTTCCATTCAAAACATTAAAATATACACGAAAACTAAAACCAGAGGACGTTGACAGGACTAAGGCCAGACAACCCATCCAGCCACTTTTGGCACCTCTAGTATCCCTAACTACCAAGGATATGTTTATTTAATATATAAAAATATTTTTATTGAACAAACGGTATATACAACTCCAGTTGAACATTAGATCTACAGATTATTTCACTTAGCAAGAAATCAACTAAATCCCAGCTTATTTCTAGATCCTGCATAGACTTAAATTATAATAGCTAACATTACCATGGATCTCTTTCATTACAGCATCAGTTCTACCTACTGCCTTCCTATATTTTTTCATCCTGCTCGGAGTTATTGCTTCTTGGGAGTGCCTATTTCTTCTGTCTTTGCAAATCTTCCCCGGATTCTTGGTTGGCTGTCGGCTAGGGCCTTCCTGCAGGCATACTGAAATAAACACATCATTAGCATATGCTTTTTAACTCCAGCGTTCATAGTGGTATGCACATCCAAACTTATTTTCAGCTTTTACTAATGAAATTATTTATTTTAAAACTTACTCATTTACATCTAAGTGAACCTTTCAAGCTTATTCAAACATGTTCTTAGCCTTGTTCCAGATTAATTTGTGATCTGCTACATTAACCAATTTTTCTCCTTTCCGTTCGTTTCATTACTAAATCTAATGGCAGATTTAAGCAACTAAATCATTTAACAACTACAATGGGCCATTATGCTATTATGCATCCATACACACAAATTATGATTCAGCATCTTAAATCACAAGGAACACACTACGTCCAAGAGAGATATACGTTTATATGGTTATTTCTTCTCATTCCATAAGCACCATGCAAACATTTCCAGCAAGAAAATCACAATCTTGCACTTCCCTAGTTTCAGGTTAGCAGGTGGAAGTACCAAGCTCGGCAATTGGCATAAATTTTTGACATAAATATAGCTGGGTTAAAGCTCTAAAACTCTCACCTTGATTTTTCTGCCAAAATTCCTCTTACTCTTCTTACTCCAGTATCTAGATAGCTTCTCCTTGCGCCCTTCAGAAGTGCAACTGCCTATAATCTGCGATTGTCCAACTGGGGATGGTAGGAGGCTTACATTACCATTACCAAGAGTCTGTCATAAAAACTCAGTATCAATGACCCTGCCCTATCCTGTTAGAAGGAAAGAAACATCTAAACATTTCTCAGTTCGTAGACTTTGTCATGGAACCAATAAGTACATGTTTGGTCACACTGTGAATTTAAATTTTTATTCCTTCATACCATCGAGTGCTATACAATCCTTCCTCTCAAACACGCCATAAATACATGGAGCTCAATCAAAATATTTCTATTGCGAGATTTTTGTTCGCAACAGGAACAGGGTTGGACAACTAATCATTTCACCAGAATTTCAAACTTATTTGTTTTAATGTAATTTGAAATTTTGGGCTTTATATATCCACTCATATCTTAAAGTGGTCATTTTCTCCAACTCAATAGTCTCGAGGGGGAAAAGAAAATGGATAAACAAGAATTGAAGAGAGAAGATGCAAGAGTAAACTTAACCTTTATGTCTCCCTCACTGAATGCTCTTCGCATCCCGTAAACTTCCCCCAAGTCCATGCCAGGAATCAGAAAATTCGGTCTCAGTGGAGCATCACGTATCCAGTCCATCGATGATAGGCAACCAGAACTTACACTTTTCTGGAACAGACCCTCGGGAAGCATTTTTTCATCAGAAATTGGGAGTTTGTCGGTCTTCACAGTCGGAACTTTGATATCCATGATGTCAGAGAGTGGTGTTACTGTTGCATCTTTAGCCAAAATATCCTTCTTGCATTCATAGTAGACCTCACTAAGGAGTTGCCCACTCTCAATTGATGATTCAATGGCGGAAGCTGTCAGTGCATCGGGGGAGATAATGTTTTCTCCGCAAGAAATCATTGAAATGGCAGCTGTCATTGGATCAAGGCCAATCAATGGTTCTTGAATTACTGGTTCAGGAGCCTTGAAGAGATCCCCTTCTTCCCCGAGGTTGTAATCCGATACGGAGGATGTCTGATTGAGGTTGCCCTGTATTAAAATTCAAAATTAAGAAATTCGAAGACGTAAGAAAACATGTCGTTAAGAGTTAGTTATGTGTAACAAATGCATAATTTCTTTTATCTCAAGTATCATAGCATCACATATCCATCCTCAAATATTATTATATACATCTCTTTCCCGTGTCCTAACATATTTAAGAACTCAAACCATAGATGAACAAGACCTCGTATGTTAAGGCATACCAACATGAAGGTTACACGAACTTATTAATATTAAGTTCTAAAGAAAATGTTTAGAGACTTATCTTAACAAGAGTATCTGTAATTAATCTACCGTGCATTCAAGGGACATCTGAACCAGAGCTATTTTTAAATTATTTGATCTAGCACTGAAGAAAAGTACATGCTCGTCGATGCAGAAGTCTAAACATAGAACTTAATGTATTTGTGCACATCCATAGATGTCTGGCATGATCACTGCTGAGGTGCTTACAAATTTGAAATGTAAAATGACTAAAATCGGTGCCGATGAGGATAAAATATGTACATGGCAATGTAAAAGGTTTACGTCTTCCATGAATTAGTTAGCTTTCCTGAAACTTCAGCTCACTCCGACCACACAAAGAAACCCGGCAAAGGACATCAATAAATAAATTGGACGCTAGATCTTGTCTACCATGTAAAGGTTTATATAAGACTCAACAAAAATATCAGCGGTTGTTATTTTCTTCAAAATCAGGCCATATTTTTCCAAGAATTTTGAAATTGTATAGTCTTTGCACTATGACGCTAATGCTATTAAGCTGCCCTTAACAAGCCTAAAAGTTACAAATACTCTACACTCAAAGAACCTACGGAGCAAGAAGAATAAGAGAGAATGAAAATATGATTTTCCTAAAATTGGAAATTCCACAAGAGGCAGAACTCCATAAAATAACAAGGATAAAGCACTAGCTTTGCTTTTATTTTTTCTAACATGAATCTTTCTGAATGCTCTCACTAGCACACTTCGAAGACAAAGGAGGAGTTATGGAGACCAAAAAACGATATGTGGTTGCTAACAATGAACGGTAAGTACGGAATGATGAAAAATAAATGGTTCGATTGAACCGAAATTCATTAGAAACAACGCCTGGCGCATCTGACTTATTACGAATCTTTCTCAGCCCTGTACATCAGAAGCACAAAACTGAAAATGAAATTGACTTCTACTGAATAAAGAGGGAATCAGATGGGAAGTAAACTCATAGCTGTGTGGAAGAAAAGGGGAAATGGAGTAAGGAACACGGAACACGGAACTTGTCATTTTAAGATTAATTCCAAACCTTTTTATCCTTCCATATAAAATCCAGCAAATAAAATAGACCTCAAATACTTTTCATATACCCTTAAAGTACCACGAAAAATACAACTTTACAGAAAATCGAATCATTCCAAAAGAATTCAATTTTTCCTTTTTCCTTTTCTTCTTCACCCCATATCAATTTTCAATTTTACATGGCAGACGTAGCAGAAAACTTTTTCCTTATTCAGACTGTAATAATAATTGCCCCAAAATGTTCGAGATTAAAACTTTCAATTATTTTCCCCCAAATTAAGAGAAACCAAACGAAACCCACAAAAATATGATCAAACACATTTGCAGTTATGAACGTCAAACCCCATATGTTCCATAAAAATCCTAAACAATTGAAATTAAAAAAATCCAGTTCGAAATGAAAGATCAGAAGCCCAAATGAACATCATTCCACAACAGAATTTCAAAAAATTGTATTGCATCGAGGAAATGCCAATCAAGTTTTGCGAACTCAAGAGAAGGTCAAAGCGTAAAATAAGGGGGAAAAATAGACCAAAAAGGCAATTACCAATGGAGCATTGGGTTTCCGAGAGTAATAGAACTCATCAAGCTGCTGAACTTCTTGAGGGAAACTCTGGAAATAGGGGAACATTAGTCCAGTTTCATCGTACATTTCTTTGCCAGTATAATTTCTCTCTATAAATATATACTCTCTCTATATTAGAAGCACGGAATAGAGAGAATCACAGGCTATATAGAATTGATAGAGAAGTTCTTTAATGCAGAGGCCGTCCTTTTATAAGCGTCAAACAGAGGAGCAGCAGCTGCAGAAACAGCCGAAATTAAAGAGAGAGAACTGAGAAGGAATCTGATTTTTGTCGTTTCTTGGAAGTCTTCTTTTGGTGAGAATTTTTATCGCAGTTAAAACTTAAAAGATAAAAATGAGCCAAGGGTAAAAAAGTCAAATCAAGATCGAACAAGAAGCTAAAAATATTTAAATCTAAAAAAAGAAAAAAAAATACTAAAATGAATGGACCAGTTCTCAATTTGTCTGGATGGCTTACAATTTTCTCGATTTGTTTTAAACAAACCTACTCTCGAACTTATTCATTATCAATTCAATCTTATCCAACTTTGATATCGTTAATAAAAAAATTAAAAAATTCATTACAAGTTGTATAAACAATATTTTAAAACTCGAACTGAACAATAATTTGAATAGGCACATAGAAAAGAGTTAAAAAGTTAGATCGTGGTTGATTCAGAATTCACTCGATGAGGAAAAATTTATAAATAAAAATTACTTTTTGATATTGTAAATAAAAATCAAACGTTAAAAGAGAAATTATTCGTTTTCCGAAAAAATGGAAAATTGGATTATTTATTGTGGTTTTCAAGCTCCTTTTTCTTTCCCCTTTCGGGTGAGCTAGTTAGATCCGTTTGGAATAACTTCTGAAAAATTAATTTTACAAAAGTGTTTATTTAAGTTAAAAGATATTTTTAAAAAAGTTAAGCTTTCTCAAAGTGCACTTTCAAAAGATGAAGTTCTTTTAGAAATTTAGTTTCCAAAAATCAATTATAGTAACTTTTTTTATAGAACTCTTCTAGCAAAAACTCTGTCAAATGAATCCTTGGATCAATTTGAATATTACAAACAAGGATAAAAGATAGCGATAGAATAATTTATTTATTTTTTTTTGGAGAAAATAAAGAAGTGGTTTTATTTTTATAATTATAGGCCATTATCTTGTGTTTAGTCCAAGTTGGATGATTAAATATGATAAGGAATCTGATTACAGAGCTTAATGAGTAGATCAGAGAAAGAGAAAGAGAAAGAGATGGCATAATCTATTGCGTAAATAGCTGTTATGATTGCTGATTATTGAAAAGTTGAAGTCGGCTGAATTTCACTATTTGATCATAAATATTCAGTCTTCACTTATCTATAATTTAAAATGAGTCAAGTTCAAGTAAATTTCGAAATAATTAGTGTAATTTAGACCGTAATTGTAAGTAAAATCAGATAAACTTCATGAAAATAATCTTCTCTAAAAAAGGAGACAGATCAGAGATGACAAAGAAAGGTATCCAACACAGAAAATATATGATCAATCTTCGTTATGGAATCATTAGAGTCAAGCGTTGTATGTGCATGATATTATAATATTTAATTTACTGTTTTATTATTTGAAAAACAGAGAATACATAATTTTTACTTATGGAAATTATAAGTTAACCAATGAGTCAATGACAGACTTTTGAAGTCTTCACAAAGCTTTTTTTCTCGACAAACGAAAAGATAGAGAAGTGAAAATGACATACAACGACAACAATAAATTAAGTTTTCACCCCAAATAAATTTAATCTCAACTCCATAAACGATTTCATTACCCTATTTTTCAATGGTTATATTTATTGAAATAACACAACTATGCTCTTTGCAATCATACGAGTATATGAATGATCTAATGAGTATCGATATTCATCTTATATTAAGTATCGATGATGTATTATATAAATTCATTGATGGATAAACTTATAGTAGGTTTCAACATTTGAATTAAGTTTAAAATTCACTAATGGATTTATGTGGTACGTTGTCGGTTCTTAACATAAGATAATTATCAGTGCTCATTAGATCATTCTTGTATATAAGCATATCTTAATTTTATTATATTCTTTTATGAATTCATTCATATGTATTTGTCTTTGTTTAAAAGTTACTTCTTAGAAAAGTACTGTTTATGACTGGAAAGATATAGTTTTAAAAATTATAGTCGACAAAATCTATTTTTTTAAAAATTACGTGAATCATATAAAAGAGCAAGTGATCTCGCAAGCATACATTAAATTATATTAATAAATTTGATGAAAAAAGCTAAGCTCTTAAATATAATGAGGACAAAATGTAGAAGGGACATCAACATCAAGTGTTGTGAAATGTCCCCCCCGCCCCCCCACCCCCAACTTATTTTTGTAATCATTCACAATTAATTTAACTACTTTATTTGCATATTTTTTAGTGTAAGAAGCAATAAAATCATAGGTGAATGCACCAAATTAATTCTTTGAATGCGATGTATATGCGCAAGTCATCAATGGTTGTTTGTGGCATTCATAGTAATCGCATTCTTCATTGTTAATTAAACACGCAATTTTAATTAGTAGGAAAGCGCTGTTTTAATGATGAAAATTGAAGATCATTGAAATCTTGAATTGTTTTTATTTTCTTTTTCTTGATTAAGGAACATGATTAAAGATGGATGCATTTTATGTTTGCCACAGTGATCATACTTTACGATTGATTAGTGGACAAGAAATTGCGTGAATAATAAGCGGGGCCTACAAATAGAAGTTCGTTCTTGTCTTGATAATGAAATTTCTTTAGTTGACATTAGAAATGATATAAAAAAAGGGGCATGGCAAAAGAAAGCGAATTGGTTTGAAACTCTTGCTAGTATTTTTATTTGTATTCGCACTAATATTGCACCAAATGAATTTTGTTATCATATGTTATTTGCATTATTGCAATCAAGATATTTTATCTTTATAGTTCTTATTTTTTAATGACATGTTATTTACAATTGTAAAGAATTTACACACCTCCACTATGGAAGCTTCAATCTCATGGACAACATGGATTGCACATTTTGAGAGAGTGTTAATCTCTCGTCATTATTCGATTGTTTGATTTTTAAGTGACTGAGTTGGATGGCGATCACTTCATTGTAAGTTTGGATCCAATTTTGTGTAGATTTTGGATTCGTTTTGAAATAACAAATGTAAGAGAAAAAGACTCAGATTGACTTCAACACAAATGAATAGCTTTTCTTTTGCCTTTGTTTTTTAAACTCGAAGAACTAGAATTAAAATGTCTAAATTTTGTTCCCACAAAATTATTAGTTATTTCATTTCGTTTTTCATAAACTCTTGCAATTTTTTTGTCTATATTAATTCCCCTATTTTTTCCTTTTTTTAAAAAAAAAAAATTATGCACTCATTTGTTCTAATCTTGGCACCCACCCCCCCAAAAAAAAGGTCCCACAATAATTTCTAGTTTGAAATGATACGTAGCAACCAGTTAATAATTGCTACATTTGGCATTTTTGAGGTCCAAAATCCTAATTTGCGTGGCCGAAATAGTTGATACATCAATTTTTTACAGATTAATTGAAACTTTATTTCACTCAGGACTGACCCCAACAAGAAGTTGGCCTACCATGGCATAATCACAGCCTAATAATTGCAATTTTGAATTTTTGTTTAGTCAATTCTAGTTTACAACCACTAGTCTACATTCTAATATGTGACATGACAAATTCATTGCTTTTACATCATGACACTACAACATATTTAGGTTAGATTCAAGACTCATGCCGATGTATACATCACACTCGTCTACATGTACACAATAATTGCTAACACTATGACTACTTGTATCACTATATACTTCATAGCTGTCATGATTCAATATAGCCTTGTACTGTATAATAATTGAAACACAAAATTGCACTTTTCGTCCTCAAGTCGGGGTGAGTTAGGTGACCACTAATATACAACCTCTCTAAAGGAACGTGTACTGAAAAAATAAACTTAAGCTATATTATTTAATAAGACAACTATAAGTATTATCTCGGTAGCAAATTGGTCCAATATCTGAAAATGAATAAGTTGGTTTCTTGTCTTTTATTGTTGGTGCACAACTCAGAGACGAAAACTACCCAAAATTTCGGCAAACAATTGTTTCATTCACACGTTTCTAATTAACAAAGTTAGAATTTGCCAATTTGCCTTTCAACTTGGGCCGCTGTCTAAAATTTTAAATGTTACACGTTTCTATGATTTTCATACGATGATCTAATAAAGAAAAATTCCATTGTTCAGAATTGGTTGTGCAACTATAATACAATTTGAAGATTAACTTGTTCATTTTCAAATATTTAACACTATTTTTTTAATTTTTAGAAGAGCATCGATACATTTCACCCCCTTC